GTCAGCAGATGTGTGTGTGTGTGTGTGTGTGTGTGTGTGTGTGTGTGTGTGTGTGTGTGTGTGTGTGTGTGTGTGNGTGTGTGTGTGTGTGTGTGTGTGTGTGTGTGTGTGTGTGTGTGTGTGTGTGTGTGTGTGTGTGTGTGTGAGTGGTGTGTGTGTGTGTGTGCATGTGTGTGTGCATGTGTGTATGTTCAGGAGTGATGGGCAATCATGCCCCCCAGGGCCCCCCAACACCCATATATGTACAAGTTAAAAATTAAAAATAAAAAAAATAAAAAATTTGTTTGGGTTCGTTAGATTTTGGGCCATGTTCGGGCTCGGTACCGAGCGTTCTGGTTCGGTCACCAAGCCCGAACGCGATGATTTGCAGGTAACAAGTACTAACAACAATGGTGTACACAAAAATACAACCGGGCAATAAAATAGCAGTAACAACAGTTGTGTACACAACGATAAGAACAACAATAGGCCACCTATAGGAGTTGTAGAGAAATGTTTATACCTAGCGCCCAAGTACCCGGGCGGTGGGCTTGTTCGACTATGCTTCAATTAGGGCTGAGAGGGGTGGGTAGGACTCTACTTAACCCTGGTACCTACAACCGCAGGCCACCCCTGTTAGGTAAGAGATGACTGGAGAGTAGGGTCCTGAGTGGTAGACACCGAGGTAGGATTGTGGGAGTAAGGGTGTACTGGGAAGAAATAATGAGAGTGGTAGGTGGGGACGGAGTCTCATAGGAATAGGGGCCTCTACAAACATCTGGATAACTACATGGCTGACGACCGGCTGTCAAAACATTGTCCAGAATCCTCTACAACAACCGAGGCCTTAAAAAAAAAAAAAAAAAAAAAAAAAGGAAGAGAAGGTGGTTCCACTTGCACCGCGTATAATGCATTTGATTTTTTGTTTTTTGGATGTAAGAGACAGGGTTACCATGCCTCCACTAGTCGTCCATTATCTTCGGTGTCTATCTACTTCCCCACATGCGGGTATCTGTCATGATATCCGTCATGGCTTCCGCATAGTTGGGGCCAAGTCCCACTTTCTCGTATTCTCAGTTTCAGACAGTAAACTATAAAGTTCAACAGTAAAAAATGAACATGTTATTTGTTAAAATAAGACATTATATTGTGTCATCTTTTGCACAAATTCGATTTAGGCAGCAACCAAAGTAACGTAGGCATGCCCATCCTCTCGCCTGAAATGTTGGAAATGGTTGTTCCAATGTGTGATGACACTGATGAGATCCGGACCTATTTAGAATTCTGATGAGCAAGGTGCAATTGTATCCTTTTTGGATATATTCCTTTTGCGCTATGATGTTTAAGTACTCTAATAATTACAGTAGTCAAACTATAAGATGTTTACCAATAATATGGAAAGTTTGACATGTGTTGGGTGACAATTATGGCTTCTAGTTTCACTGACAACATTTTCATTTTGTAATTGTAATGAGTTAATTTTGACATGCCTCCTTCTTTTGCCATGAGTTCGATCATATTACACAAGAACTTTAAATTTTCTACATCGTTGATGGATTCATCCGCATTAAGTCTTTCATTTGTCACGCTTAAGAATTTCATATATGAATGCAAAGTTTATGATTGTATGCAATGTAGGAAGTCATAAGGCATTTAAATAGATGTACACGCAAGAGACTTAGTGATATTTGCACAATGAATCTCACACTCATATAATTGTCGAATTATGACTTGCGTTCTCATTTCACTTTGCCATATTACGCAACTAGTTTGAATATGCACTGTCTGTGTAGCACACCGAACACGTTCGGAGCTTTTCCGAACGTCCGAACATGTTCGGGTGTTCGGCCGAACGCCACCCGAACGTGTTCGGCCGAACATATTAAAAAATAAATAAATAAAATAAATTGGTTTTTGATTTTTAACTCGAGTTTGGTTATGAATTTGAGCATACCTCCAAGGCAAAAGTTGTTTGTATCATTATTTTACATCACATAGAGTGTTTTCAGATGTTTTGGAGAACGTTTTTTTTTTTTTTTTTTTTTTTTTTTTCACGTTCGAAGAGTTTCGGTGCTCGTTCACGTCCGATCCCGAACGTTCGGGTTCGGTCACCGAACCCGAACACGATGCTACACAGTGCACTATCAATTATATCCACACCTTAGCACTTTGCACAATGAAATTGAATGAATCACACACTCAGATAATTATCGAATTTTAACTTGCGAGTAAAATTTTATACACTGTTGATGGAATCCGCACTAAGTTTTTTATTTGTCACGCTTAAGAGTGTCAAATATGAATGCAAAGTTAATTATTGTATGTAATATAGGAAGTTACAATGTATTTGAATGAATGTGCACACAAGAGACATAGTGATATTTGCACAATGAATCGTACACTCATATAATTGTCGAATTCTAACTTGCGTCCGAATTTTATTTTCTCATATCACACAACAAGTTCAGATATGCAATGTCAATGATATCCATACTTTAGATTTTTCTATGTAAGAATTATAATTTGAAATTAAATGCAAACTAGTTCCAATATAGAAAATCAAAGGCTCATACGGACAAATGTAGTTAACTGATCATAGTGAACGCAAACTCGTAAGAATAAAAGAAAGCAATGAAATCCATTTTGTCATGGTCAGTTGTTTGATGAACAAGTATTAAAATTCATTAATGAAGAGAACACTTACGAAATGAAGTTTGAAAGTGTAACCAACATAAAAGAAAACCACCTTCAAGTATGCAAATTGTCAATCTTGTCTAATAGTCGACAGATCTCTTTGAGAGAATATTAAAGATGGTCAATGACCACGTTATAACAACGTTGCAAACGTTAACATGAACACTCCGCAAATCACTTCATCGACTTGTTTTGGAACTCCTTCCATTACAACATTTGTCTCCATAGACTTTCAACTCTTATATGACTCACTATGTAATATTTTCTGTTCCAAATAGTATACATATAAATTGAAGAGACTAATTTTGAAATCACTATCGGCTACAACGATATGAAAATAATCAAAAACAAAGTTAACGGAAAGTAGGATCCAGTGATCGTTATCTTTTTGGATAGATATAAAAATAATATTATAATCAACTATATTTATTCATTTCGCTCATCTTCGCACCCAACTGTATCCTTGAAGTTGTAGTTTATTGAAAAAGAACGAATTGAAGTTGAAGACACGAAGGTCTAACGACATGTTACGTGTCGCACAATGTCATGAGGTCGACCCTAAAAGCGCCATGTAAAAATTTACAACCTCATCATTAACCTCGTCATCGATATTCAAGAGAGTGAGAAAATGTTTCACTACAATAGACAAACGATTCTCGAGAAAGGAGAGAGCATTCAAGTTGTAAGAGGCGGCACCAAGTAATGTCTTTAAGATTTCAAAAGCGTTGAGGCATAATTGTTGGAGTGCAACTTCCACCCTCTGCTCCACCCCTTGTGATAGACATTGCACAACATAGAGCAACGCACATGCTGGGCAAGGAAAAACGAGAGTCTAAGCATAGTCGTCGGTAGCACGACACATTGCCAAATAATTCTGATACATGGTTTGACCCATAGTTATAGATCATGGGTATGTGTCCTTCTTTGGGGGTAGAAGGGAAAGACACTGCTCAATAGCTATGGCATGCTCCTTCTTTCCGGTTTCGACATCGACCCCTGATGACTTTAATGTTTCCTTTTTTTTTGTCATCAACCTGGGGACTTTTTGCAGTATATACGCCTGATATATCGAGGACCTCCGTTTGCGAGATGACCCTGTTCCTGTAAAACACAAGGAAAAAAAAAAAGTGAATACACGGATCCAATAGAAGTATCATGTGAAAGAAGGGCACAACCCATAGAATGCAACACCTCTACAAGTACTAAGTTCTGACTTTCCATTGCTCTAAGCATCGAGACAGGCGTGTGTGGCTGGACAACCAAAACTCAGTGAAGCACGCATGCGAGTTTGACCCTCCCACCGTAGACACATGATAACTACAAAACGGTTCAGAAGTCCAGATTCTGACGGACTTCTGTCAACACAACGCACACACAGAGTAACCGCATTAGGCATCGAAACAGGAAGTGCAAATACCGGACGACTTAAACCAGCATCCCCTCTGAAAGGAGCAAAATGCACCTCCTGTGAGTCGGTCAGGTTTTTTTTAGGAAGGATGCGACCGATGTTCAGAAGAGAAAAAATATGTTCAATGGAAGATCATCACGTAAAGATCATTTTATTTATAGTGTTTCGTGTTATTTTATTTTTCCCTCTCTAAGTTGCACTCGACATCCCCCTCCTGAAAACCTGGCCAACTCATAGGAGGGACAATTTCCTCTTCTCCGAATGAGCGTTAGTTCAAAACACCACTCTTTTTGTCAAAATGCACTTCGACAACTCTATGTCCAGACAATGTGAATGGAAGTTCGCCGGAATTTGCACTTTGACTGCACATGTCCTTTTGTTTTCGATGTCCACTTCTTATCTACATTGTGAGTGTACAAAGGAGAGTGGCGTTGTTCACCACGTACCAGGCGACCGATCCCTCCGCTACATCGTAGTTTGATTTATCGTGGCCAAGGCCAACACTGCGACATGTGGAGTGTTGTCCCTAGACCTTTTCGAAGATGTGACATGATATTGTCCCTCCCCGACTTCGCCGCTGGCGCTGACGTGCATTAATAGAGGAAGCGTTGGTGGCGCGAGGGCGGTTCGAGACTCAGAATGTTTGACGTTATTGACGACGGTCACCTCAATGTTCAATGTGATACACAATTGTGTCGACGTCAGCTGGCCACCGAGGATGTTGTCGATAACTTCGTCGATATTTATATGATGATTGGTTTACCAGGCGGGATCACAACAACAAATTAAAACCCTCCAGTGACCGATGTCGAAGTTCGAAAACAGGTGAAAGTTATTGATTGTCATAGCCTGTTTGCACCATGGAAAACTCATGAACCACCTGTGTCTCCATCTCCATCGCCGTTGTATCGTCGTCGACGTTATGTCGACGATTTTGTTTGTTAAGAGATCCGAACTCGTCAGAGGACTCACTACATCAAGCATCCTCTTCCATCTCCTCTATATCAGGATCCTCCATGCTTTCTTCCTCTTGCTTTTCTTCCATTATTTCTTTCGCTTCATCTTTTTCATCCTCAACATTTTCACTGTCCCGTTCGTCCCCTTCATCCACCTCATCCACCTCATCCACCTCATCCACCTCATCCACCTCATCCACCTCATCCACCTCATCCACCTCATCCATCCCCTTCAAATCATTTTCTTCCTCTTCTTCCCCCTCTTCCTCTTCTTCCCCTTCATCCCCTTCATACCCTTCGTCCCCTTCGTCCCCTTCATGCACCTCATTCCCTTCATGCACTTTATTGCCTTCCCGGGAGACCGTGTCGAACGGATCTCACTGCCCTTTTGCTTCAACAGTCGGAGCTCCTCCCGCCGCGACATTAATCCCCGTCTGAAGACCCCCTGCAAATGAAGGACGGATTCCAGCGTACTTTGTTGTTTCGTGGTCGGTAGGCGATACTAGGCGCTTCGCCTCCGAGCACTTGCTCCAATGTTTAGGCACTTCGCCTCCGAACACTTACTCCAATGTTGTTGCCTGCCCCTCCTCATTGACCGACGAAATTCCACCCCGTGCAACAGAAATCGCAGACGAAAGACCACCTTCCTTTGCAGTGCGGATTCCGGTGGACTTCGACACGACATCCTGATCTGGTACACCTTCCCCCGGGTCGCCCTCCCCTGCCGAATGGCGCCCTGGCACATGAACCGGTGAAACTCGATCTCGGCGGATTTCAACGTTCCATCGGGGGCCAAAATCGTTGGACGCCATGTCAAATCAAGAATCCGCATCTCATGCATTGAAGTCCGGATCACGACGAACTTCATCTCTTGGACTGGACTGGAGCCCCCTGAAGGAAGTCAACCAACATTCCCCCCCCCCCTCCCCCCAGCGGAGGCAGCACCTTCCAGTCTATCCTTCCCTTGAAAGGGCTTGTGTCGGGAGGGCTACCCCCGAAGTCACTACTGCCCCAAGCGGAGGCGGCACCTTCCAGTCTATCCTTCCCTTGAAAGGGCTTGTGTCAAGGTCATAAAAATCAGGATCGAGTTTCAACTACCGATGGTCGTGAAGTTCATGGAACGGACGATCATAGGTCGATTCGATGGAAGCGTGATGATTTAGAACGCCTCGATTTTCGACCCTGACTTTTTTGACGACCTCCACCCTGGCAATGTCAAGGAACCTGGACTTGGACTTGCGATCACATGCCACCCATCTCCCTCCGCCGTCGGTGAGGGTCATGACCCACCTACTCCTTTTGATTGTTGGTTGTATAACCTCGGGGTGCCAAATCATGTTGTTTCCCCCTTCCGCCTCAGTCGATCGGGTGTGTGTCTGTCCTTCGAAGTGAATGTTGTCATCCTTCCAAAAAGAATGATCTTGCGAAACTTCACTACCGAGAGCAACACGGTTGAAGAGGCGGGAATCATTTTCAGTCTCCTCAACGACGAAGTCGGGTCTTCGCAGAGATTGAAGTGGGTACTGACGACACTTGGGTGGCTTGGCTTCCTGTAGGACCGACCGACGAGGACCTTGGGGCGTGTTTCACCAGAACCAGGTCCTAACGAAGGTCGATGCTCTCATTGTCACTCTCCTCCTCTTTTGACTTTGCTTCGAAAACGACTCTGGTTTATTTCTCGTCCTCGGTGGAGATCAAGGCCGCGTAACTGCCCAACTCCAATTCTGGTCGAGATTCCATGAAGTACAGACACTCAAACTTGTCAAGGAAAAACTTCTCATTCTTGCGTGACGCGTCATGATAGTTGTCCATTAATTTGCAACGACGTTAGCATATGCTCCTTCCGGCGGACATAATCGACATGATCGTCCTTCTTCGGCCTCACATCCAAGAAGAGGAATTTGTAGATCTTGTTTCTCTTCCGCTCAGTCAACTTGAATCACATGTCCATACTGGGTCCCACACGCGCTGAGCCTCCTGTTTGTTCTCCTTCACTACAAATCGCAGTTGTTGGCCCCGGAGTTCACCTTGCTTTAAATTTGACGAAGTCCATCGTGAACTGCAACAACTCCGAGTTCCCTTCCAACGCCACAACGTGGCGGTCGCTCTTCGAAACCTGCCACACGACTTGCGTGTGCTGGTTCCCAAGGAACACAACACCCTCTCCCTTTTTGAAGAGGAATTCTAGAAGATTGGCCAATTGGGTGGGGTTGCGTTCCATGTCCTTGTAGACCTTGCCATCTCCCTGGTGCGGTCAGCGACCAATCGCACGGTGTGAACTTGAAGGGAATGACGGATATGTTTGCGGGGGTTATCCGAACAGCTGCAGCATCACCCTCCGCGAGCCTCCCTCTGTACAAGACAGACGTGTTAGTATCGCACCTGCTGGTGGGTGCAGCTCCTGCATGTTCCCTCGATGAATATGGAATCCGATGTGACTGCGTCGGGTTCCCCGTAATACTATAACAGTATATAATGATAATATCATAATGATAATAGAAAAGGGAAAATGACATATGTACCCCACTTAAAGATGGCAATACCCACTATACCCAGTCTAGCGCCCAACTTGAATCTATACCCAGACCCTGTACAACTTGAATCTTTTTTTTTTTTTTTTTTTTTTTTTTTTTTTTTTTTTCAAAGCGGGCCCTGTGCCCAAGGCTGATATTATCAAAAGAAGATTGAGGCTGGGGCCCTCACAGTCTACCCGGAATGACAAAACAGAACTTGTTGAGAACCGGGCTCAGCATCCCTCTCGTGATGCTTATACTGTTAATGATGATGCTGTAAATCGATACCACTGCCTCTTCACCCTTTCTCATAAGAGCGCCAGATTCACCTGTTTTCCGAGCTGTGGTTCGCCAAAGACTAGTTGTTGAGGAAGATTTATGTTTCATACCATGAAATAGGAACAATGGCCATTTCTGAGGGAGGGAAGAGATCAAGGAATGCTGAGAGAGGACGCATTGGTACTGTAGCGTCGATAGTAGTCCAATCATGAAAAACCAGTTTGTAGTTCCTTTTAGTCACAATGTCTTCATCACTCTCAGCCCCTTTCCATATGACTTCTCCCAGATTGCCTCCTTGGTTTCCTTGGTTTCCGCCCAGCTAGTTTCTGCTGAATTTTCGAAAATGTGATTGTATTTCTGTTTTATTGGATAAAAATTTAACTTTTTCCTTTATTTGAGACTATTTTGTTAGGATGTCTGTTTCAATTTGTTGTTTAATAGTTTCCGTAAAGTCTGGTCCATCCAATCTGGCCCCTTCCCATTCAAAAGTACATCTT